GCCTTGGGTAAAGACCCGCGCACCACGGGTGTAGTTTCCTATCCAGTTGGGGGACGGGAGGGAGGGGGTGCTCCAACCCTCCAACTTTGAAGAGGAAGTTGGCGAGATCCAAGAAGCCGGTTTGTTAGCGTATTTAAGGGCAGACTGCGTCATTTTCCGCTGTTCTGCTCCCTTAGCTCGCTTTGCGAAACCACGCCCCTGCTGTGTACTTGGTGATGACTTGAGATTTTTGGGCGCGCAGACATCGAAGGTCATATTGTGCCCATAACGTCTCCGTGTACTTGAGCGGCTGTCTTTCATAAGACTTGACCTGAGCGCCGAATGCATTCCTTGTCGTTTAGATTTTTAGAATGACGGCCGGGTTACATCCCACTCAGCCAGGACCAAAGGCGAAAGCCGATCATGTCCGAAAGAGACGTCGAAATTGAAGGCGGCGTTCGGAAAGGCCAAGACGCGACCCAATCCGCAGCCGAGCATCGGTCACGTGACGTGTGGCGAGCGCCACGCAGCGTCCTGTGGCGGCCTCTTCTTGCCCGAACACCCAGCTACAACATATCCATGCCCCGCCTAGCCACTGAGCCTCGTCTCGCCGCCATTACGTCCGCGGCGGCGAGACTTGGGGCCGTCGCATCCGCGACTGACTCGGGAGCGTCTTCCTCCGCGGGGAGGGCCTCTCCGTGGCGGAGTGCCCCGGGAGCGTCTTCCTCGCGGGGAGGGCCTCTCCGTGGCGGGAGTGACTCGGGAGCGTCTTCCGCGGGAGGGCCTCTCCGTGGCGGAGTGAACTCGGGAGCGTCTTCCCGCGGGGAGGGCCTCTCCGTGGCGGAGTGACTCGGGAAGCGTCTTCCTGCGTGAGGGGGCCTCTCCGTGGCGGAGTGCCTCGGGAGCGTCTTTCTCGCGGGGGAGGGGCCTCTCCGTGCGGAGTGACTCGGGAGCGTCTTCCCGCGGGGAGGGCCTCTCCGTGGCGGAGTGACTCGGGAGCGTCTTCCTCGCGGGGAGGGCCTCTCCGTGGCGGAGTGACTCGGGAACGTCTTCCTGCTGGGAGGGCCTCTCCGTGGCGGAGTGACTCGGGAACGTCTTCCTGCGGGAGGGCCTCTCCGTGGCGGCCCAGCGTGTTAGCAAGGCAGAGCCGCCCGTGACTGGCGGCAGACGGGGTGGTGGGCGTGGCCTCGGCCAGTGGGTGGAGCGATAATACACGGTCAGACGCGAAGGCGTGTTTGGAGCGGGCGGCAGACTCTGAGCGCGAGAGGAAGACGGCACGCTTCAGCCGGTGACGGCGTAACTGGCGGCAGGCCCCGGCAGACGTCGTCAGCAGCAGCCGACAGCTCACTTGGAGGGAGACGTGCTGGGCTCCCAGGACAGCCGCTGTGGGCCCCATTCACGAATCGTTGTACAGGTTGGCCCGAGCATAACAACAGCCAGGTACCAACTTCTGACAACCTGGCTTGGAAGGGGATGACTTAGACTCGTGATGGCCGAAGAAACGGGCGACAATTAACGCCAGATTGACAACTTTCTCAACAGCGACATCCGAATTTCCGGGTTTCCAAAGATGACGGACCACGATAATCAAAAATATATTCAACCACATATAATATCGCCTTACAAATACTGTTTAAAGTTGGTCACGCCCGTGTTTAAGTGGATACATGAGACCAAGCACCAAACACTCAACAGTCAATTGGGACACAACTGGACATCCGCGAAAGCATATAAACGCACCCTGCACTCACCACTGGCCGGCACGCAACGCCTGGGGAAGCCGCCAATGGTACGCCTACGCCACAGCTGGATAACTCGACAATCGCTCGCCCATCCCACATCACTGAGTAACGCCCCCCCCCCCCCCCCCCCTGCAAATCCGGCCGGGGTGGAACAGCGCGCACAGCCCGCCGGGCGGAGTGCCTGGCCCCGCCCGTGGCGCCCCTGGTCGGGGTCGATCGCCTAGCTGGAAGCGGCCCCAACAACGCCACCTTGCCCAGGAACACGTGGTGAGCAAACGGTGGATCTGCAGCTGCCGGGCGAGGGGGGGGGGGGGAGGGGCGAGCGGTGGAGCTAAGCGTGGGTACACACAGGACTGATATGTGGCGGCTCTGGGCGAGCACCGGCTTCGTCGGAGGCAGGCGCTGCGGGAAGGGGATGGAAGAAGGTGGAGCGGCACTCGTCGACGCGGCTCGGTGTGTGCGTCCCCGCCCGCGGCCCGGGGCCGATTGTCGAGGCGGCGGCGCAAGCTTGAGGACTCGCACATGGATGACATAAGGACACTTACTGGAGACATCGCCAGTGCATGAGAAGCAGAACACTGGAGAGATGGCAGCCCGACAGCGAAAACCCTGCAGAGTCCCAGAGTCCCAGACACACGGCAGCACACAGGGTGCTTCAACGACACTTAATCTGCGGTCTTTGGTTGAGTTTAACATGGGCTACGCTCTTGTCCGGGAAGCGACGGCTTTTGCGCAACCGTGACGCGCTGACCGCCCATCTGACCTAACCTTCCCAACTAAGCCCGAACAAGCGCGGCAGTGACTAGTCAAAACCTCGCCTACAGCATCCAGTTCCGCGTGACCAGCGTGTCTCGCCATCGTGCCTCACTGAATCGCTTGCAAAGGCGTGCACAGGCGTGCGCAGGTGTGCACGCCAGCTGAGTGAGGCACAGCGGAAGAGTCGGCCTTCATCTCGGACCGCCGCGCACCGGCACCGGCAGCGAACGGCGGCCAGAGGCCCGGGCCGGCCAGCGGAAGGTCGCACGCGGCCGCGGCGGCCCGTCGCCATTGGGGGGGGGGGGGGGGGGGGGGGGGCACAGAGCTAGTCGCGGCTCACAGTCCGGTGGGAATGGGAAGTCTGCACACGAGCGCCACCGGACCACAAGCAGCTCAGTGTAGGTGCAAAGCTGGCGGGTCGGCGGCTGTGCACAGTGCGCTGCTGGGACAACCACAGCCAAACGTTATGCGCGGCGGAGACACACACGCGAACACAGGCGCAAAGCTGGGCCCCACAGCCGAACGCTAACGCACAGCTGGGACCCACAGTCGAATACAGGGGCATAGCTGGGACCCACAGCCGAACACTTGGGGACACAGCTGGGACCCACGGCCGAACTCTGGGGCATAGCTGGGACCCACAGCCGAACTCTGGGGCATAGCTGGGACCCACAGCCGAACACTAGCGCACAGTGTCGACCGCCACAGCTGCTGTAGCTGTGACAGCCCGACACTATCGCTGGGAGCCCACAGCGGGGCGCCCCGCCGCAGCTGTGCCGCCGCGCCCACCAGAGCAGCCGCGCGGAGCCGCCGGCCCGACGCCCGGCCAGCTCCCTAGTCGTCCAGCGTCTCTCCGGCCAGCAGCGGGATGATCATGTCGTCCATGTTCGGCAGCACCATCAGCTTCTGCAACGGCGGCGTCGCCGCGTCAGACCGCCCCACGACCACGACGGCACACCGCACGCAGTTCCACCGACGCGTCAAACAGCGAGCGAAGGCAGGGCACTAGCCCGCAGGTAAGACAGCTCAACAGCCCCAAACGCAGGACATCATCCCGCCGTCGGCGAGACACCGCGCGCTGCGTCTACAGGGCCCCTGAAGAGGCAGCATTGACACAATATCACCCCCCACTACTGCGACCCGAGCCAACACGGCACCATCCTCAAAGCCGCTCCCCAGTCCCTGTGGACGGCATCAGCTCCGGACAGCTGATCCCTGGACAAGACAGGCTGACCCCCGGAGTGTGGGCGGCGGGCAGGGACGCCGCCGTCTCCCCCCAGTCCCCGTGGGCGGCCAGCAGCTCCGGACAGCTGATCCCAGGACAAGACAGGCTGACCCCCGGACAGTGCGGGCGGCGGGCAGGGACGCCGCCGCCACAGCCGGACTCACGTGCACTTCGCCGATCAGCTTGTTTTCGATCCAGTCGGTGACCTGAGTCAGGGTCACGTCGTGCGTGCCCAGCCGCGGGTGGGCGGCCAGGATGATGTCTGGCTTGCCGCGGAAGCCGTACCTGCCGCCGCGGGGGCACAAGGGCACACGGGTCAGCTTGGTGGCACGCGCCAGGGCCAACCCTGCCTTCATGCAGACTCAGCGGCCTTCAGACACACGACGAGGCCGCTGGTGCTGCGTTAGCGCCGACCTCGGCTCCAGCCATATATCATTGCCGCAGGGCAGACGCAGACATGTGAACGTGTCAACTCAGAGACGACGGGCAGTCATTCCGTTGGATTATGGTAGATGTCGACTGACCATGAACGATGCAACGATGAACAGCGTGTAGTGACAATGACAAGAACTTCTGTGAGCGCGGGGAACCGCGCCCCGGTGGATTCGGGCCCACTTCGAGTCTACAGACGGCGGACAGAGGGAGAAGCGAACAACAAGGAAGTATGTACATGCCAGCGACCTGTCCTTCGCTGAACGCCGCCTGTTAAGAATGGATATGGTGGCAAAAAGGCGTCAGCGATATAGTGACCCCCAGAGCCGTCAGAGGCCACTGTACCCAACCGGAGGACGGCTAAAGAGTCTGTAGCGACCCCGCTCTGGCCTACTCACCTAACTCAACCCACCACCGACCCACACCGACCCATTAGAGCTTGTCGGCAGGAGGCTCGAGGCGTGCCTGCCCTCCCCACTGATGGCTCTCGGCCGCTCCCTGATATCCACCACCGCCGGTACTGAGCGCCGGTACGGACGGTTTCTCAGACTGTCCTGTCCCTGCCCAGTCCGACCTGACCCGAGGGGACCTCCGGCCGGCCCGCTGCCACCCACCAGAGCCGCCGGTACGGACGGCTTCTCAGCCTGTCCTGCCCCCGCCCTAGTCCGACCTGACCTGAGGGGACCTCCGGCCGGCCCGCTGCCACTCACCAGAGTCGGTCGTTGGGCGGCCGGGGCACGTTAAGTGTGAGCACGCCCTGCAGGTGCTTGAGCGTCACCGTCAGCTCCAGCGGCGTGTTGGAGAACTCCTCCATGTAGCGCTTGACGTATCGGTTCTGCGCCGCCTGCAGCCGACCGGCGGTGTGCGTCAGGACGGCGAGACGGGGACGCGTCGGGAGGGTGGAGCAAGGACGCGCCGGGCAGGGGGAAAACAGGGACGGGGAGGGTGAAACGGGACGCGTCGGGAGGGTGGGGCAGGGACGCGCCGAGGGCAGGGGGAGAAACAAGGATGCGTCGGGAGGGTGAAACAGGGACGCGTCGGGAGGGTGGAAGCAGGGACGCGTCGGTAGGCTGGAGCAGGGACGCGCCGGGGCAGGGGGAGAAACAGGGATGCGTCGGGAGGGGTGGAGCAGGCAAGAAGGCGTCAGGGCCGTGTCTATCGAGCTCGCCTCACACCAGCAGAAATGGCGAGAAATGACGCACAGTGGCGCAAAAACCGCTGAATGTGTTCGGCATCCTTGGCCAAGGCCGCTGACATCGGCTGGGAGACAGCACGGCCTCCTAACTGACAGCAGCGCGGGGAAACCAGACCAGGCGCCGCAGGACACGACAGGAAGACGTGAGTGGCACCGGCTTGAAGCGTAAACAGGGGTCCGCAAGTCTTGCGGCCGCTGATTTTGACACAAGCATAGCGAATAACAAAAACCTGCGTCACAAAAACGCAACTTAGGTTTCCAAACGGATTGCTAAACGAAGATGCATGGCGCGGCATGCTCACATTCATCAGGAACGGCCACATTAATCATGTACAGCCAGGCGCCTCGTTTGGTCCGCACCAACCACGTCCGACACCGGCGTTTTCGCAGCAAACTAAACCCGCGTAAATCCACAACCAGACGTGCGTAAAATGACTCACTACAGATTCAAAGTGCTCCGCAACACAACTATCTGATCACTGAATATGGACCCCTGCAGAGCGGCGCGGCGCATTAGCAACAAGCGGCGTCGCACGCGACGCCGGACGAACCCACTGTACAGCGCGCGGTCTCGACACGTCTGCCAAGGACCTTCCCTAGGAGCGCGGAGCCCGTGCGCCGAGCGTCCGTACCTGCTGGAAGTAGCGCGAGGTGGTCACCTTGTCGACCACCTGCATGAACCGCTTGCCGACCTTGGAGGACGGCTGGGAGGGCGAGGCGGGCGAGGGCGGGCTGCCCCTGCGGACACGCCGGCACGTCACTGTCACGGCTGACCGAGCCTGGCACGCGCCGGGCGGGCCACACCCGGCCAAGTGACACGCCGTGTACGCACACTGCCGCAAACGCGCAAGGCAGCGACGCACCCGCCGGTTGCGGTACACTACCAGCGACAGAGGGGCCGTGCCACGCTGCGTCGGCTTTATCTCGCTCCGCAAAGATCGGACCAAGCCCGGCGCCGCCGTCTCGCGTTAACACGGCAGCGACAAAGCCCCGGGGATCGGCTGGGAGCGCGGCGGCGCCCGACTGACCCGTCCGAGCCACCCGAGGTGTCCACGTCCTCCTCGTCGCTGGACGAGTCCATGCTCGCCAGGTCGTCGTTGCGGTCGCACTGGTACACGGCGCAGCTGGAACGGGACGAGAGACGGTGAACGGGACGCGGTCAGCTGGACGGGGCCGGCAGCGCGGGGCGCGGCGGCCCTCGGTGCGTGCGATGCCTCACACCCGCGGAGAGCTGCTGGTTGATCGATGATGCTGACGGGCGGGGACGCGTGTCGAGTTTTGACGTGCTACGGGAACAAGGAAGAGGGGCCCTCCTATGTGAACACGCAAATAACCTAAAAAATATCCGGGTACATACGGGATACACATCACAATAAACATACTAGCATTACAAATATCTGCCCGCCTGTCCGCATTAGACGCATCAGGGCACAGGACATTTTAGTTGCAGGCTTTTGCGCCTTGCATTTTACATACTATGATTGCTATTAAGCGTTCGGTCCACTCCCAAAAAAGCCTGACGAAAACGACGAGGACACGTCCGGCTCCACCAGAGGTCGCGCGCCGCCCTCCGCCCTCGTGCTGGTCACTGCCGCGTGCCCACCCTGCCTGCCACTCATCAGTCCCGTGTCACATCCCGCGCGCGCTCCTCACGTCCTCTACAGTCTCACACAGCCCGCCTGGCCCATCTCTGTGCCCCTCGCCTCCCTGTCACGCCTGCCGGCCCGTGCCAGCCCCGGCCGGTACCTCTCCGCCCGGTCCGTATCTGTGCTCCTCCCCTCCCTGTCGCGCCTGCCGGCTCGTGCCAGCCCCGGCCGGTACCTCTCCGCCCGGCCCGTCTCTGTGCTCCTCCCCTCCCCGTCACGCCTGCCGGCCCGTGCCAGCCCCGGCCGGTACCTCTCCGCCTTGCCGTCGGCGTGAGAGGACGGCGACGGCAGCGGCTCCTTCTCCCCGTCCTTGTCCGCGCTGCTCTTGTCCTTGTCGCCGCTGGTCTCGGCCGCCTGCTCCTTCTCCGGCTGTCCGCGGCGGGCAGCGGCGTTAGCACCGGCAGGCGCGCCCACACGAGACGTCAGACAAGGTACGCACGATGGCGAACGGGCAGCGGCATGGTTCACAGAAAACACACACAGGACGCGTCGTACTTGACGGCATCCAGAAACATCAGACAAACTAAAATACAACAAGCACGTACATGCGTGATGCATGATCAGTTAGGACGTACTGACCTTCCAGCCCGCTAGACAGAGGAACCCACAATTATGGCGCACCGAAGACAAGTCACACCCACGTGTCCGACCCGGCTAACAGGCGCGCTTGGCAAGCGTATGACTCCGTATTTTCGACACAGCGGGACAGATACGTCAAAGACGTCAGACAAACCAGATGGCATACAAGGCAGACAGAAAAATACGCGTCGATCATGGAGCAGCTGTAACAACAGGTGAACGGCATACATCAGACTGATACAGCACACATCGCCACAACATGGCACTTCCGAGAGACATCAGTCGTCTGATCGAGTCAGCAGGGAGGACGACAGCGACCAGGCTGGCTGTGGCACATGCCACACCCCCCGTCGCTTTCTCTCCGTCAGCGCAGTCTCCCCAGCGCCACCCCGTCCGGGGACTGCACATTAGATTACGCGTGCCGGCCGTGCGACCGCAAGCGGAAGCGTCGCCCCGCCTGCGTCGCCATCCTCCACGCGCGCCGACAGGCACACCCGCTCCGACCCAGCGTCGACATGTCAGCGGCTGAGACTGGTCTCCAAACCAGTTCAGCCCTGCTCTTAACCGGTGACATCCTGTTAAAACCGGCGGACAGAAACCACGCCCGTCGGTTGTTGCCAGCCGTGCCCCGACCGCGCGCTCCTGATCCCGGATCGATGCCTGCGGCCCGCGCGCGTCACCCCCGACAGCGGGGTGTGAAGAAGACTGCAGAGCAGCGCCGGTGCAGCCGCTGCCGGTCAGCCGCCGCCCCCAGGGCAATGACCGATCACCACAGACGCACGTAGGCCATCAGCGTGGCGGCCGTTCAGGCTGGTTGTCGTACCGCGACCTGCGGAACATTTCAGCGATGCGCGGGATTCGAATTCGAGCCCACCGATCAGCAGTCCAGATCACCCAGCCGCGCCACTGCCCGCGCGCCCGGTTCGCCACTGACCTTGCTCAGCTTCATGAGGTTGACCTTGGTGCGGAGCGTCATGCAGCCGCCCGCCCATCGTTACAGCACGGCCATGTCGGTCCAGAGGGCCGCGCTCGTCGCTGGGTCGGCGCGCTCACCGAGAGGATGCGCGGCAGCAACCGAGCCCAGGTCGCACGAGGTCACCACCAGCTCCTCGATTAAAGAACGGCGGCTGGAGACAAAACAACACAAATTACAGCACAAACAAACCTTCGAACCACAAGTTCTTCAATGCAGCGGGCAGCTAAAGACAATGGAGTGTAGCACAGGTCAACAATGAGCTTCAGGTGTCACAACAATGTCACAGCAACGCCCTCAGTGCAGAAGACTCCGACCTGACAAACGATGGCCACGCGCCTGAACACTGTCCAATGCGGTGTTTGGTGCTGAAGGACGCAGAACCCACCTTGATGCGCGGACAGCTTGCCGCTGGATGCGGAGTGCACGAACTCTACCCATGGCCCCGACTGACCGAAACACGCCGAACGCCAGGCGGCCAATGAGCGCGTTGAACCACATCACGTGACCGGTGGCGGCCGGGGCGGGATTGACGCCATCGGTCGGCGACGGCGGCCGGGAGTCTGAGCCGCCTCTGGGTCTGCGGGGGTCAGCTGGGGTCAGCTAGGGTCAGCGGGGGTCAGCAGGGGTCAGCCGGGGTCAGCGGACGCTCCCAGACACGGCGAGATAACACAGATGAGCTAACAAGCAGCATCACCAGTCCTGTCCGCCTACAGTGAGGGCCTCCAGCCGTGGGAACCTCCCTCAAGTCGCAAACAACACCCAAACATTTCTCTCGGGCGGCTCGCTCCCAGCTCACCGCCGTCACCAGTTTGGACATGTAGTAGTCGAAGTCGAGTTTGGGCGTCGGTTTCTGGCAGCAGCGGCGGTGGCGGTGGCGGCGGCAGCGGCGGCCGGCTCCTCCTGTCCAGTTGCGGGGGGCCGCCGCCGCGCCGGGACCCCGGTTGCCTCCGGCGGCGGCTGGGCAGCGGGCGAGGCCGGCGCTCTCCTCTTT